AGGGTCATGGGGGCGCATGGACGAACCTTTCTTGGCCTCCTCCTTCTCCCTCTTCCTCTCTTTCCTCTTCTCTTCAATTCTCGCCTTCTCCTTGTCTTTCTTTCCGTATCCCTTGCGTTGGCTTGAAGTTTGACTGAGCTTAAGAAGCTTAGCAGTATCTTTACCGTCGTCAAGTCTCCCAGTCCGGCCTCTCTTAGACTCCGGACCTGGAGAGGCGGTATCTGGAGAACTTCTCTTGCTGCCTCGCGGTTGAGAATTGGAGCCTTGAGAGCCACCAAAGAACTTCGGCCCTGAGCCGGCCTCTTGAGAGGCGCGGAAGTTTCTTTCTTGCTCTCGCCCAGATTTTGAAGACCCGAAGTATGTCTGTCTTACATCGGTTTTCTCTTTACGAGCAGCGTAGTCTGCGTCTGAATCAGGATCGTCCGTGGGCTTCGGGACAACCTTGGGAGATTTCCCCTGTGAACTTGATCTCTCTTCCTGAGTGTCCCCCGGGGCCTCGTCCTGGCTTTTTGATGGCATATCCGGCTCACTGACCTCATCTGAGTCATCTTGCGGCAGTTCGCAGACTTGGGCTTCCGTCATTTCGGCAGCCGGCATGACGGCTTTGGCAGGTTTCACATTTTCGCGACTTTTTTTGTTGACAGTCTTCAGCAAACCGGGAGTTCGAGGGTCTCTGGGGAGGCCGCTCCGCCTTCTAGGCGGCGGTAAATGTGACATTTCCAGTAAAGAGCGCCCCAGGACTCAAGATGGCATAGGAGGGAGTCCAAAAATGATAGCTCGTGGTCAGCCCCAGGGCGAGCTCTTCGGAAGCTAAGACGGGTAAGAACGGCAAGATGGCGGCTCCTTCCCGTCCGAAATTGACCGTCGGATTCGGGCGGTTGCTGGCCAGGAAAATCGGGGAGGCAAACGTCCCAGACGCCTAGGGCCGGAATATGTGATGAGAGTCAGTTGGCACATCAATTGAACGCCTGACCGGGGTGTGATCTGAGTCCAGCGTTGTGAAGTTCAAAGAGACGTTGAATGACGGCCGAGGACCCAAAAAAGAGGGTTGCCTTTTGGGGTCAAGTGTTGCTCCCTCATGAAAAAGCTGAAGTCGCGTCCCTGACGCGTGCCTGCCGGGGCGCCGATGTACCCCACCTGCCACTTTCACCTTACGCCTCCGTGCATTACGGGGAGTTTTAGTGGAATTCCCTGCGGCTCAGCGGTGCAGCTTCCCCTTCTCATGCAGGGGTGCTCTGTTGCTTTCAACGACTTCACCTGCGTCGTGCATCATAGCTGTCAACAAACGCCAGAGCTGCCTGATCGACTCTTCGACCAGACTTGGCCGACGCGCCCCAACCTGCGATCGCGATCTTGCCTGTCAACCCTCACTAAAGCCCAAAGTCCGATTTTCGACATGGCGCTGAACCGCAAGTACGCAGCGTTGCCAGATCTGGTCAGAGCACCTGAAGACATAAACGGCAGGACGAAAGGCGGTCTATACTAACACCACCCAGGACTCGGCACCAGATGTTTACGAGACCCCAGAATTGACAGACGACACTTCCACGGTTCCTGTGCGTCCGGCTGTTCTCCCAAGATGACGTGTGACTGATATGGTGGTAGACAACAACGGTGCAATCGCATTCCGACAACGAATTCGACGACGACCTTGACGACGATATAAACGGCATTTCCCGGTCGCGACTCCGCATAGACCAAGCGAGGTCTCGTTTCCTGCCTGCCGGCGTCGACGCAACCGGTGTTGACTTCTCAGACCGAGTCGATGGCAAGCGCAAGTCCTACAAGGCCTCGACCAGGCGCCAGCGCTTTCTGCAAGACGGGACCGAGGAAATTGGCGATCTCAGCGACGAAGATGACGAGGATAACCTAGAGAGAAAGATTGCGCGCCTGCAACGCGAGGTTGAAGAGGCTAGGGAGGAGTATGGCAAACGAAAGGAGGCCGCTGCCCAAGCCGGCGGGGCTGACCAGGAGGAGAAGCTTGGCTCTCTCAGCAAGGTTCTCGACGAGATTTCCAAGACCATTGAGCCTCACACCAAGAGCACAGGTGTTGCGCAACCTACGCCGCAAGAGCCCAAGGAATTGCAAGCGGGATCGCAGGATGCATTGGTAGCGGGAAGTGCAGCAACCTACACCGTCACCTATGCTCCCACATACGAACAGAGTCACGCTCTCGCCAAAGCCGCGGACTTTGATCGCCGTCTTGTCCTGTTGGAGAAGGCTATTGGAGTTGGTTCTTCGGCCCTGCCAGAGGTCGACATCAACGGCTTGCCCAGGGCAATTCTGCCAACTCTTGATGGCCTGCAGAAGCAGATTACTACTTTGTCACAAGCGTCAACGTCCAATCTGGACACAATCAGCCGTCGCGTGCGTACTCTCATTCAGGAGGCACAGGAACTAGAGAAAGCCCGTCAAGGGGCTAAGTCTGCACAAGAGACGCTGGGTAATGGTGGCACGCCTAGTGAAGAGGCGCAGGCACCGGAGCAGTTGGCCAAGATCAACGCGCTTTATGGGACCCTGCCAACGATTGAGAGCCTGGCTCCTCTGCTGCCGCCGCTATTGGATCGTCTTAGATCCCTCCGGGCTATTCACTCCGACGCTGCGACGGCAAGCGAGATGCTTGAACGAATTGAGAGACAGCAGACCGATATGGCTACCGATCTCAAGCAGTGGAAGGAAGGATTGGAAAAGGTCGAGGAGGCTATGATGGAAGGCAGCACTTCCATGGCGGGCAACATGAAGGTTATGGAGGCCTGGGTCAAGGACTTGGAGGGGCGCGTTGCGAAGTTGCAATGACAGGCCCAGCGCCGTCAGAAGATACCCCTGCTTAATACATATTTAGTCGAGCTGTGCATGTAAGAAAGCCATCTTGGAGAAGCAATGAAGAGATGAATCGGGGATGATATGATGAAACTGCATTCGATAAGCCTCATCGTGAATTTCTTTTGTGTTTCTCGTGTACTAACAAGGCTCTGATAGAAGACGAAGCTCCTACTGCATGTATGTCACTTGGGGATATGCTAATCTCCATGTTCCCAATGTAGCAACCCCTGCAGAATCGACCGAAGCGGAAGGCGGTGTGACTCCAGACCGTTCCCCGCCAACCAATCAGCATCGGCCAACGCTCTGGCACTGTCCACAAGCGAAAGGGCTGGAAAACCCTCCAGACCACGAAAAAAGTTCGCAGCCATCTTCAGTACACGCTCAATCCATTCAGCACCCGCGATCCGCCCAGTCACCACCGAACCTGCGCAACCACACCAAGTACGTCCGCCAACGCCAACGACACCGCCGAAACGCTCTCGAATATCGCGACTGACGTAATAATTTTCTTGCAGTCAAAATGGATTCTACCAAGCAGCCCGTCAAGCTCGTCAAGGTCACCCGTGTCCTTGGCCGCACCGGTACGCCCAGCTCCCGAGTCGATGCGCTCCCCCGTCTGAATTCGAACTTCGCGATGCGCCGATGAAGAGACAAATTATGGCAGTTTTTTTTCTGACAGATAGCAGGTTCCCGTGGTGGTGTCACCCAGGTCCGCGTCGAGTTCATGGACGACCAGACCCGTTCCATCATCCGTAACGTCAAGGGACCCGGTAAGAGGAAACTGCCCCCGCATCGACCGCCAAGAAGCGAACAGCGTGCGAGAAAGGAGAGAGGAACCTGTTGCTAACGATTGGGCGTCTAGTCCGCGAGGACGACATTCTCTGCTTGCTCGAGTCTGAGCGTGAGGCTCGCAGACTGAGATAAAAAGGCGGCGACGATCGGCGGCGGCGCGTGAATGGACATTACGAGGAACGGATCTTGGTTCTGAGGATGGGACAGGAACATTGCAAGGGCTTCGTCACCCGAGCTCGGGCTCACGGCTTTCGTGTTTAGAGGAGTCAAAAACGGATTCTGCATTACGAATACAGCAAGGTTCTCCCACCAGCCGCGAGGCGCTCTGCTCGGTCGACCGTGTGTGCCTACCTATGATGCGGCGCAATGCAAACGCGCGAGGGGTCGGTGAAGCTTGAGTCACTGCTTGGGATACCTGGGGACAAGGGTCGCCTCCTGTGCCGACATGGCATTCTAGCAGATTTATGAGTACACTGATAATGACACTAACAGCGCAACAGCCGCGTACCGCAAAAATCCCGAAGCACTTCTCAATACGTGCAATTATGCCTGCTGTCATCTTCGACGGTCTGCCCCGCCAAACGGGATCTGTCGCCGACCGCAGTGCGGCTCCGGTCACGTGGGACGGGGTACGATTTTTTCTGCAGGTGCCCCACTTCAGCTTCCTCTCAGCTACCTATTTCTTCTTCCCATTCTCCCTCCAATCTCAATATCTTCTCTTCTTTCCTCAGCCCGCGACACGGGTTCATCGCTGATCGGTAAGTCGACTTTTTCTTGCAACTGTCGTCACATTGGAATGATGCAACAAAATTAGCATGTATTACCTGAACTCCATTGATGTTCTACCATTATCACCAAGATCTCTGATACCAATCATTACCACAACCTTTTTGTTCTCCCTCAAGGAAATGGGCCAAGGCTAACCTGAAAAAAGACTCTAGATATCCCCAGACATAAGCGACACCATGAGCGCGGCGACAAAGCCACCCAAGGATCACTTCAATGTGTTGTTCTTCGCCAGCGCCGGCTCCTTCACGTCCAAACAGTCTGAGGCATTCCCCGCTCCGCTGCTGCTGAAGAAGCTTTTTGACATTCTCGAAGAGAGATACAGTGGGATTAAGGAGAAGGTTTTGGAGTCGTGCTTGGTCACAGTGAACCTGGAGTACGTCGACATCCCTGGACCAGAAGATGGGGATGGGCCAGACATCCAGGCTGGAGATGAAGTAGCCATTATCCCACCCGTCAGTTCCGGCTGAAAAATATGCGCGGTGGTTGAATGAACTGTAGAATGGCGCTCGGCGACGATTTGAATCCAGTTCATCCATGGTTCAATTCTCCCAAGTTGCTACGGGTACAGACAGCACCACATATGGTGGTGCTCACCCTCAAGGGCCTGGATTTGACCTCGTACTGTGATCTTGCCCAAGTAAAGGGTCCTGCTCTCCGATGTTGTCTCGCCGCGTTACGATATGCCTCCAGTCGTACTGCCAAACCCTCCACCATCCGGGTTCCTTTACGCTCCGACGCCTCGCCCAGCGAATCGTGACGAACAGGAGTGTTACCAACAATACCACGACCAGCGTGGACACTATCGAGATGATGGACGTTAGGCTGGTGATGGTCGAGACCTGGCAACCAAGTGGTCTTGTCCGAAGCTCCCATCGCTCCGCCCAATGTGGGCAAACGTCCTCATTCCATGCGGGCGCAAGCAATGGAATTGCATAAGGATTCGGGACACATGCAGATGTCTAGCCGGTGTTCATGATAAGCGATCGTCCTTGGAGAGCTGTAATAAGACGGAGGAAACCAACCATTGGGCACCAACTGCAGCGGTCCTCCGCAAGGCAGCCCTTGCAGTCCTGGCGTTGCCAACACCGGAAGAAATGCTCATCTGTGGTTTCTTTGGCCGTGAAGTTCTGCCTGGCCAGCATGATCTCCAAGTCAGTGGGCCTACGAGCACTAAGCCTGCGGTCGCTCATGTCTGCTGTCGTACCAAAATATCACGAATAATGCAGCAATAAACTGAGGCCCCGGGATACAGCTGGGGAAGTGAGTTTGGTGAACATGCGACCACGAGTGCTGTGTCGGATGAGCTGGGGTTCGTGCGGGGAAACAACTGGTGAATTAGAGTCCGTGCGTCGACCAACCGAACTCCAAACCACCAAACTCTTGTCAGTCTGCCTTCAGACAAACCTCTGTTTGCAGTGGCCCATCAACTTTGATGGGAAGTCAAGTGACATACTTCGGAATCCGGAACAGCCGAATCATTCACAGATGCAGAAGGCGCCAGGAACGTCTTTTGCATGATGCTACAACGGCAGCAAGGCGGCCAGACACATTCCGATGATCGTCACAATTATCAGCCATCACCACGCCCAGTCAAAGTCGCACCGGCACGGCAGCGGCGCATCCCAAGACATGCAGGTACGGCCATTGGCTCGCGTTCCAGAAGTCGTTCCATTCCTGGAACTGTTGCCCACCAAGAAACGCCGTGTGCGGGAGGCAATATAAGTAATTGGTCCCAAGATCACGGATTCGGCGATCTGCCAGCACACTCTCGGCCCTTCGCGGAATCCTCTGAAGCGGCGACATGCCGGCAATATATGGATAAATTACCCCTGGTCGGAGGAAGCAGCCGCAACTCAACGACGTCTCGAGATTTGCGCGTTTCACAGAAATGGCACATGCAATGCGCGCAGCAGATCGGTCCTTCCGCTGGTCTCTGAGAGGCCGGACGGGCCTGGGAGCCGTCGTTCGTTGCTGATTGCTATTTGGGTCTGATGTTCTGACATCCTGTCAGCAATGGAAGCTGGTTGACCCAAGACGAAGAGTGCCGCTACCCGAGATGTCGAAGACGGCCCCGGATCCGTCCGTCTGGGGCATCATTCTCGGGCCAACCCCGTGTCGGCGGACCAGAGGAACCCTGGGCCGCAATAATCGGACCTTATGGAAGCCAGTGTTTGTCACACGGAGCATGAACTCGACATCTAACCATGGCCAGAATCTGGTAGTCAGCTGTGTTGGTTCACACTCCCAAGACGGCCCTGCAATTCGATATTTTGACACTGCGCGATCTCCGATACAGGGAAATCCACTACCGGGTTGTCAATTTAGCCTAAATCAGGCTAAATGGCAAAATACGCCAAATGTAATGGGTGGCGCAGGTGAGAGTCGTGGTACCCTGGATGTAAACACCCATGTGCGGCGGCGGCGCATGGTTTTCTCCAACTTCACGCACGCCTCCAACCTAACCTCAACCCGGCACAATAACCACCGTCTTCACGGAGCTCCACGAAATGCAATCCCCACGTCTGTTATTGTGGATTCGATACCATTCGAACAGCAGATTCGAGCCGGTGGGCAGGCGAGCTGCTGGACGAGTGTCGTACGGTTGTCGACGGCACTGGCCAGTCTGGCACTGGAAGTCTCCACCAACGGTGTACCCACGCGCCGACTAACGACCACGCGAACGCTTTCTTCGAAACACGATACCTATTGACGCACATTGAACCCAGTGGAGAGTATGTTGAGGGCCTTCGTATCAGGCTTTGCTACAACTTTGCGCAAGTCACAGCACGGGATGGTATGCAGAGTCGGGCTGGTCCGCGACTTCATGGATCGACTGACAATCTCAGTGGTGACGAGCGTGCTGTGGCCACCACTCCACACATCCACGCATCCACACGCCTAATCCACCCATTTTTGACCATGGGGATTTGGGGAATGCGGGTCAACCTCAGTAAGCCCTGCAAAAGGCCGGCGAGGGTCGGCCGAGGGAGTTACGAGGCCTGGTAATCGAGTCTTTGTCGCCACGGTTGCTCAGCTCACTCTCTGGTGCTTACCACAGCATACTCTGCGATGTGCCACGGACGGAGTACTGGGCCTTTATACGATGCGAACTTGATCGCGTGCCGTCTTCAAGCCTTCGGCACGAAATCGTTGCCCGGCACTCTGCAGACATTATTCCTGTGTACGCGTTCCAAAAGGCATCAGGCTGTTAGTACGGGGGAATACTTTACCGAGGGAACTTTCCTTGAGCAGGGGTCTCCTCGACACAAAGTAGCATCAGCGGTACGGACATGTTTTCACTTTCGGCCTACCAACGTTCAGCACGCCGCTAAAGTATGGTACACGAGATGAGCACTAAACTGCTGTAGAATTGCCAATGATTATGCACTCGCTCACCTGGATATCACACCTCTACTCACACGGGCGAAAAGAACGTCTTCGGAGCAAGCTGTCAGGGAAGACGCAAAGGAGCGAGGACCTGGACTCTGTCGAATGTGTTTTTTTATCACATCTCCCAGAGAAGGCAGCAGCAAGGGTGAAAAGACGGAATGGGAAAACACATCCAACATGAGTCACGGGGAGCGATGCCAGGTTTCTTCTCGAGTCGCCATTGTCGGTCGATGCACAAACGGTCTAGTGGCCTACCGTCCTTCGGCGTTATGTTCCCCGCAGCGGTCAACCAGTTGCTAGTCAACCCCAAACTCGCCTAATTTTGCGATTCCTATCCTTCCCGTTTTTTACCTCCCGCTTTACAAGGCGCTTACCGGGGTATCTCTGAAGCACGGAGCCGGCGACACAGTCTTCGAAGTCTTTCGTCCGGATATTCACCCGTTAATGTCAATGGTACAAGACTACCGAATGAAGCGGCATATTTTTGGACGGCTACAAATCCAATGACCGTCCAGCCTAAGAGCAAACCGTCTGCTCTCGGGAACAACGAAGAGGCCAACGGGCGAGACTGTCGCAACCTCCACCGGGACGACACTTCCCTGCCGCCTCCACTTCGAATGGTCTTCTCCACGGGACCCCAGGGGGAACGTTCAGCAAGTGGAACGCGCACACCTTTTTTCCATCTAGTCTTGTCCTTGTCTAGTGGACGCCAGTGTCCACTCCAACACGCCCGGCAAAATACAATTGCAAAACTTTGGGGGCAGTGGTGTCCGATTCGCATTCACCCGTTCGGACGGCCCCAAGTTTTTGGAGAAGGTGTTCCTCCAGCACGGGAACAATATCTTGACTAGCATTTTGCGCAATGCGGAGGGTCTCACTTGGCAAGGAAGCTTTGCCTTGAAACGTCCTCTCATCGACTTTTGCCGGATGAAAGTGGCAATCCCCTGCCGCTGCTCACATCGTTCTCTCACCCCCGGTTAACATGGGTTAGTACCTTGGCTGCAGGCTGCTCGTGCTCGAGGAGATTCTCGAGTAGCTTGATCATGACAGCTGATTGGGGTCGGTCGAGGTCCGACTAGGCCTTCGAGCAAAGGATCCCGACCAAGTGGTTCCCGCCTGACGCCCCAATGAAGGCCATCTAGAGAGACCTGGGACCCTGTTGCGGACCGACACTCCGTAAGAAGAACTCGCACTGTAGCAGCCAGGCTTTCTTCACCTCCCTATGTTCGTCTTATGATCCCCGGATCCATATATTAGACCTGGAGACCCCGCGTCGTAGATCGTCTCACCTCCGTTCGCTGTCCCTCTCCAGTCATCCCCAGGCCCAATACAAGTGAGACTGCTCTGGCTCTTGTTCTCCGCGCCGGCAGAAACGCGCAACAAACACACAAACACCACACACCTTCAACTCGACGCCTTTGAGCCATTGTCACAATGGGGTTCTTCAAGGGTCTCACGCAAAAAAAGCCCAAGAGCGAGGCCGTCGTTCAGGCCCAGGAAGAGGCACCCGACTTTGAGAAGGTCAACTGGATGAAAGACCCTGGTCTGCGCAAGCTGTACTTCTACGCCTTCGTGCTCTGCGTTGCCTCAGCCACCACCGGTTACGATGGGTACGTCTCGTCGACACCCACGTCCTCAAAGCGACTTGCTAACGCCTTTTCAATGCAGAATGTTCTTCAACTCTGTCCAGAACTTCGACTCATGGCAGGAGTTCTTTAGCCACCCCAAGGGTGGCGAGCTTGGTCTTCTTGCTGCTCTTTACCAAATCGGCAGTTTGGCCTCCATGCCCGCAGTGTAAGCTCTTCGGCGCACCGTTTCGATTTACATACTGATCGAGACAAAAGTCCCATTATCGCAGACAGATTCGGCCGCAAGATTCCCATTGTGATTGGATGCATCATCATGGTTGCTGGAGCTGCTCTCCAGGGCGCTTGCCAGAACATGGGCAGTGAGTATCCACGACAGCCGCGCCACGACACAATAGCTGACCTTTCCAAGTGTTCATGGGTGGTCGTGCCCTTCTTGGTTTCGGTAACTCGTTCGCCCAGATCGCGTCGCCCATGTTGCTCGCCGAACTTTGCCATCCCCAACATCGCGCCAGACTCACGACTGTCTACAACTGTCTCTGGAACGTCGGAGCTCTGATCGTCGCTTGGCTGTCCTTCGGTACCGAGTTCCTCGGCAATGAATGGTCGTGGCGCATTCCTGCTCTTGGCCAGGCTGTTCCCTCCGTCGTCCAGCTCATCTTCATTCTCTGTACGTCGAGCCAAGTGACCGATAGTCTCATCCGTAGCTAACGAGAATAAAGGGGTACCCGAGTCTCCCAGATTCCTCATTTCCAGGGACCGCCACGACGAGGCCCTGCAGATCCTCGGCAAGTACCACGCCAACGGTAACACCGAACACCCCACGGTCCAGTTCGAGTTCCGCGAGATTCGCGACACCATCAAGCGCGAAATGGCCGCCAAGGAGAGCAGCAGCTACCTCGACTTCCTGCGCACCGCCGGCAACAAGTACCGTCTCATGGTCTTGATCTCTCTCGGTCTGTTCTCGCAATGGTCTGGCAATGCCATTATTTCCAACTACGTAAGTTTCCATGATGACACAAGTCCTGATTTCTCGTTGTCGGACCTTTGCGACTAACTCCTATCTCCCAGACCTCTATCCTCTACGGTAACGCTGGTATCGAGAGCGCCACGGCTAAGCTCGGTCTCTCCGCTGGCCAGACCGGTCTCTCCCTGATTGTCTCCATCACCTTGGCCCTGCAGGTCGACAAGTTCGGTCGCCGTCCCATCTTCCTCGCCTCGACCGGCGGCATGTTCATGACCTTCGTCTTCTGGACTCTCTGCTCCGGTCTGTACGAGGAGCACGGCTCCCCAGGCTCCAACTACGCCATGATCTTCTTCATCTGGCTCTTCGGCTTCTTCTACGCCTTCGCCTGGTCCGGTCTCCTCATCGGCTACTCCATCGAGATCCTGCCCTACAAGCTGCGTGCCAAGGGTCTCATGCTCGTCAACCTCGTCGTCCAGGCTGCCCTCACCCTCAACAACTACGCTAACCCTGTTGCTTTTGACCACTTTGAGGGCCACACCTGGAAGTTGTACCTCATATACACTGTGAGTCGCCGCCCTGCAACGTGCAATCTCCCGAAGAGAAGAAACTGGACTAACACCGTTCCCCACAGTGCTGGATTTTCCTCGAGCTTACCTTCGTCTACCTCTTCTACGTCGAGACTAAGGGCCCTACCCTCGAGGAACTCGTCAAGGTCATCGACGGCCCCGACGCCGAGGTTGCAGACCTCGACCTTGCCCAGGTCGAGCAGGAGGTCAAGATTGGCCACGAGGCCGAGGAGTTTGAGCATAAGCGCGGTTAGAAGATGTGCGAAGTCTTGTTTGGGCCCAGACCCACCATTTCGAAGCATCATGTTTAGATGGAAGAGCATATATGAGCATGCAGATACCCCCCCTACGATAAATGTTCAGAGTCATGCGATACACACATATAATTACGATATAATAAGTACAGAGAAAGAAATCTCGTCTAAAGATACTTATGCGGACACTGTTTCTTCTGGTATCTATCTTTGCTTAGAGAATCAGCTCATTACGCAGCCAACACGGAACAAAAAGTCAAAACAAGCACCTCTGGGCGTATTTATGCCGCGTCGCCAAGGCGCTGAAAACGCAGGTCATCTCAGCCTCATTCCTAGGCGCCAATCCTGCGTTTGGGCTTTCGTATACTCTTCAATTGGTCATGATGCTCCAAGTCGATGCTACTGTTGTAGCGATGAAGTCAAAACTGAACGTCGTTCCAACCGAAGTCACTGACGATATTTTGCACCCTAGTGCACTGTGTTCTGTGCTATGAGTAAACCTGCAGAAAATCCCCCTTTCTTTATCAATGCTGCTATGGGATACACACAACATCACTCGCGAAACACAAAAGACTCCATGTGAGACGACAGCTGGATTTTAGGACTGACAAGCTCAGAAACTACAGGTATTATGTCTCTTAATCAGTCCAAGTAAGGCTTCCCCTGGCTTAGCACTTGGCGCTATCAATACTTTCTTGACTTCAGCTCACTGAGCTCTTGCCTCCCTCGCAGCTTTCGACTGCCGAATTTGTGCCTGGAGCTTCCTCGATTCCGTCCTCCTGATTCGCGAACGCTCGTGTTTGGGGTCTGCCTCGTCTTCCTCGGCAAGTGTCTCGAATGCTCTCAGGTCAGCCAAGAACCGTCGGATGCGGACGCCTGTCTTCTGTCTGATCCACGCGTCCACCTCCTCGTCGCAAGCCGCGGATATCGCAATGTTGAGGCCTCGCAAGACATCTCGGTCATCGATATCTCGGTCATCACGCTCCGTGGAGAGTGAGGAGTAAGTGCTTATGGAGCTTTCTGTATTCTTTTTGGGCAGTTTCTTGGCTGTATGGGCGTTTTCCTTATCGACGGGGTGGGAGAAAAGTTCTTTTACTGTCTTTGTCAGGTCGACAGCTTCAGGCTGCTTTTTCTCCGTTGATACAGGTTGGTTGTTCCCTGCAGTCTGGGTGTCTTCGGTGTTCCTTTCCTCCATTTCTCGAGATGCTTGTTCTATCGCCTCTTCAAGGGATGAGGGATTACTTAGGGTCAGCTTCCACGTTGAAGGAAGGTCAAGCTTTGGCGATAAGGTCCCCAGGCTGGTGGCTGCGGATCTCTCTTGGGGCTGCTGCTCTGTGAGTTTTGGCGATTCTTGCAAACTCTTGAACATTCTCCCAGAATGAAAAATCCCCGGGTGCTCGACTTCGACCTGCTGTTTCTGTCGGGCTGCCTTTTCTTTGGCCTTTCTCTCTGGCTGGTTGACAGAGATCCTCGTCGGCTCCTGAGTCGACATCTGAGCTTTTATTGTCTCTTTCGGCGTCTTAATTGAAACCTCCTCTGTCAAGTGTGTGTTCTCATCTGACAAAGACTCAACAATTGGTTTCATTGGTCTTCTAGTACTTGACGGCTCTTGCGTGGGTGATTTTGTTTTGACAAGTATTGCATCTGTGGTATCGAGAAACACATCCCGCTGTCCTGGTTTGCGAAAACCCTTGGTAGTTGCCGAGTCGGCCATTGATCCTTGATGCCTGACTGAAGGTTTGATGCGACCCGGAGCTCTAGGAGGAATTGGCGGCACATTTTCCTGCTCAGAGGCTTGGTTTTCAGGACGCTTGGTCGTTGGGCTCGTGGCTTCCAACTCATCTTCGGGTTGAGGTTTGCGCGCTGGTCGATAAGTGGAAGGACGTTGCGCGGTGTCTCCATGCCATGTCTTGACACGAGGGTCTCGGAAATCTGTTCCTTCTGTGCATTTTTAGCCAGTGTGCGGTATTCTGTAAGACGTGTTTACTCACTTGGAGACTTGATCCAGATGACTTCATCCTTTTGCGGGTATACTGGGTGCCATTTGTCTAAGATTTTGTTCGGGGTATCGATGGTCGTCGGAGTTTGAGCAGGCGGCGCTCTGTTAGCCGGGATCTCGGTTGATTCTTCTCGCCCCGTGAAGCACGTCAAATTGCAGCACCCAGGCTTTTTCTCTGGTACCTCATCAATGTAGGCAAGTTCCCATGCTTCTGGTTGCGTGAAAGCAACCTGCGTTCCCAAGCTGCTGTCATACGAAGAGTCCCAAGATGGACTTCTCTGGCCATTAAACTGAAGATGGCTTGGATTATCCCGAGACTGCAACTCCTTGGACCGAGTTTCTGCAGGGCGTTTTGCCTGTTCACCCGGTACGGTTTCAATGCCTTTGTCCTTTGCCGGACTCGCAGATGGCTCTCGCTTCGGTCGTTGCTGATCGGACGTCACGGCTAGACCGGCAGCCAGAAACTGGTCTTGATACGGCAACAGCGCGTTGACGGTATGTAATGACACAACAGACTCTGGTGTCGGCGTGTTAACTGGAAGATTCCCAGCAGCCTCTCTGCGCTGGGCGTAGATCTCCAATTGCTTAGTGAATCGGTCCACGGCTCGACGGTTACTTGAAGTCCGCGAAGGTGGTTGACGAGGGCCCGATGACTGGATAGAGGATCTCCTGGATGGAGATGCGAGGAGTGAAACTTGACTCTGCTGCGAAAGGCTTCTGCGGATAGCGTTCCGAAGCTGTGGGTCAGCGACTCCCAAACGCTTCGCATTCGAGGCGGCCGGTTGGCGATGACTCTCGCTTGTAGTCTCCTGGACTGCCGACAAGGTTATTTCTCGCTGTTTCAGTGAGCTACCAACCGGAACGGGACGCCCAGCTCGGGTTCGAGAGGGCCTGTGCCGGCTAGGTGACCCTGAAGGACCTGCAATTGGTCGTGTGTGAGAAATGCGTGGTTTACGTGGCCGGTAAGTCTCGGCCATGTTGACTGGGCGGCGAGCCATACTGCTCTCACGCTTGGGGGGACTTGGAACTGCGTGGATAGGCCTTTCCATCTCGATGTAGTACAGAGGGGGCGTTTGTTGTATAGATTCTCTGTTGTGTCGCCGGGGACTGGGGGCCAACGGCCGGAGAGCGTCAGACACAATGCTTCTTCGGATTCTTGCGACTTCCCTTTCCGCAGCTGCAACGGAACCTCTTGGGGAGCGATCGGGTCTTCTGACAGGCACTATGGTGGTTGTGCGACGGCCAGAAATGCGTCCAGATGGCAGTCGAACTCTACTTGTCCTTTTGGAGTGCAGAAGCATGCGTTGTTGGCGGCGAAGGCTCTCGACAGACGGGCTTATGGGCTTGCGAAAGACGTCTTCTGCTGCTCGATGGGCAAGACTTGGATCAGGTTCCGGAAAGGGCGGGGAGCAGGATGAGAGGCAATTGCAGTCTCGAAGGACTCTTTCGCACTTAAGCATTGTCCATGCTTGACGGACTTGGGATATCAGAATTGTTTTTCAAGAAGAATTGTTGATGGTATCATGCGTTCTAGGTAACAAAACGAGTCGTAGGAGAGACATGTAGTGGTACAACAGTGTGGAGAAGACGACGTCTCTTGCGCCCAGCCTTGGGCCTTGGGACTGAGTGAGGCCTTCCTCTTATCGCGCGGGAGGGCAGCGCTTTTTTGCCAGAAGGATGCATGCCGACTGAGCAGCTTCCTCACCTCATGACATCTTTAATGCTCGGTGATGAGTAAGTTTCGAGTTGGCGCCGACCCTTCCTCAGCAAATGTTCAACGACAGAGAAGTCGCGCTTGTCTACCGTGAGGAACTTGTCAAATTCGTTCCTGGCGATTGGGTTAGAAGGATTCTCTGAGTTCAAAAGCAAGAGTCGCGGGGCTTGCCTGGCAAAAGATCTAAAGTGAGGTTGCGAAATCTATGAGTAATGTTTTAGCTCTCACATGCTAACTTGCCAGAGAAATAGAAGTCTCACCTCGGGCTTCTTGCGGACCTCTCGAAGACACTGTCTATAGAGGGCCAGAACCTCCCTTTGGAGACCGGAAAGGCCCCTTTTCGCAGCTGCCATGGCGATCTAGCTCTGCACCGAAACAACGGAAGTTGCGCTGCTTCTACTTCATCAACGGCACCCGGAAAGAAAGCTCGAATCAAATCGTTGATGTCAGTTAAAGGAATGGACCCGTTGCTTAGCTTGGGCCAATAACATGGTGCACAATTGGAGGGTTTCTGATGACTCAGCGATCTCGAGCTCCCCCGAACTTGTGGGGACCTATCCCAAAGAGGTGCCCAGGTCCTGGGGCGTCATCGCGCGATGCCGAAACAACAGCCGAGAGAGCTCAGTCCCCTTCGTGGGGAATGCAACGACCCGAATGCCGACTCTGGAAGTACTAGTCGAAAGAATGCATTCCCCCGTGATAATCTCCTACAATACTTGATTGACAAAATGAAAACATAGGAAATAATATAGCAGATGAAAAGAATCCCAAGAAACAATTCGCAAAAGCTGATGCAGAAGCTGAGGTGGTGATGGGGGAGCTCTGTCGCACGAGCGGCACCGGTCTTTAGCGGTTCGACCGTGCCCGCTGGGGGTTGAAGTGTGGGGTCAGCGGCTGGGAATCGGAGACTTCCCGGTGTTGCTACGGCGTCTTCGTGAAAGAGACATCTTCATTCCTACACCTACATCAATTGCTGCTCGTAAATCGTAGAATATTGCAATCTCATCTAGTCTACCCATCAATTGCGACCAGCTATTTTACCTTAATATCGACAATGGCTTCATTTTCTGTGAGTACACTCTATCACAACTCAACAATGTGTATCCACTGACACACGCCCAGAGGCTCGTTCGCTTCCTGGCCCGCGATGGCAAGACTTACTACGGCGATGCGATCTTGCCCAGAGGCGTTTCGGACATCGCAAAGGCTAGACAAGCTCGCATCATCACTGGCGACATCTTTGGAAGACACGATGTGACGGATAACGTCGCCGACATTCGCCTGTTGCTGTCTCCTTTGGCCCCTGAGCACGTCAAGACGGTGCGGTGTCTCGGTCTCAACTATGCTAACCACGCCAAAGAGGTGAGCCCGCGTCCTTCACTTGTATGGAACCATTTTCAGCATCAACTAATATCTCACAGTCAAACATGGCGATTCCTAAATTTCCTGTTCTCTTTGTAAGTTGTTACTTATTCAAGTATGCTAGAACGACATGCTGATTTGGCCAGTACAAACCCGTGACTTCGTTGGCCGGTCCGACCGACCCCATCCCCGTGCATCCTATTGCCCAGACTGGCAGCACTCTTGACTATGAGTGTGAGCTGGTCATCGTTATTGGCAAGACTGCCTCTGACGTATCAGAGGATGAGGCGCTCAACTACGTACTGGGCTACTCCGTCGGTAACGATGTGTCGCATCGTGACTGGCAGATTCAGCGTGGCGGTGGCCAGTGGTCTCTGGGTAAGGGCTTTGATGGCTGGGCGCCCTTCGGTCCTGGTATCGTCACCAACAAGATCGCTGGAGACCCCCAGAACCTTAAGATCTTCACCAAGGTCAACGGCGAGACCGTGCAGGTAAGCGGCGCAGTCACCAGGTAAATGGCTCAGGCTGACGAGTAGGCAGAACAACAACACCAAGGATATGATCTTTGGTATCAAGAAGACAATCTCTTTCCTGAGCCAGGGCACTACCCTGCTGCCGGGTGATCTCATTTTCACCGGAACGTAAGTGGAAGAACCTATGACTCTGTCGCGTTGTTGGTACTGACGAAAACCAAGGCCTGAGGGTGTTGGAATGGGACGCAAGCCTCAATTGTGGCTCAAGGACGGAGACGTTGTCGAGGTTGGCCTTGAAAACGTGGGCTCCTGCGTCAACAAGATCGAGTTTAGCAAGGTGAAGTCTAAGATCTAGATTACAATGTATAAATGGGCTCATGAGCAGTGTATGGAGACAAAGTAATATTGAACCGGGTTTGGTTGGTCGTGTTGGACGCGGTCGCGCTTATCGTCCACTCTGGTTGGAATGAGTTGAAGTGAGGCCGTAGCCTGCGACCCAACTGTCGGCAAGCCCGAATTCGGGCCATTATGTGCTGAAGATCGACCCATTTTTTCCAACAGCCCGGCGTCAAAGTCACGTTGGCCGAAAATGCGGCCCATCCAGTACCAGACAGTCGGGAAAGGCACTCATCTACATGCCCATAATTCAAGGTCTTTAAACGGTAGCTGCATATTTCCAAGATTGATTTCAAACGGCCACACAGCCTTCTCGGTAAGTTGCTTATAACCAGAGGAGGAAGGAAGGCGACGGCAGAAGGAGAAGGAAGGAAGACGACGGCAATAGTCAAGATAACAACAGTAAAAACAACGACGTATATCAGCAAACGTGTAAGTGACCTGCGTGGGTGGACGAGATGGACTAGTAGTGATGGGGTCCACTCTACGGCCAAGGGTCATGGTTTGTCTTAATATTGTCCCTCACATCAACCGGCATTCTTAGTGTAGCGGTTATCATCCCAGCCTTCCATTCGAGGAATCATGTCAGCTGGGGACCGGGGTTCGACTCCCCGAGGATGCATTCGTTTTTGCCTTTTTGGAGTATTTCCTGACTCTTTGGATCTTATAATTCTTTTTCCGATTAGTTTCGATGGTGTTTTGGGTGCGTTGTTAGTTGAAGTGGCCTTGGTGAATGAGCGTGCAAAGTGGCGCTGCAGCTTCACTCCGTCAGCTCACGGTTGGCACAACCCTGAGGCCCAAACAGCATCAGTATTTGAACTTACATATGCGCCGTAAACATCCACATGGACTGTATCTGTATAATCCAAAGCCTTCCTTTCATTGTCAAATAGAAGATCTGTGAGACGCTGTTTTAGCCTAGGACTCTGACATCTGCCGAGAGCGCTCCATTCGGTGACCAAGCCAGCAACAAGCGAGGCACAGCCGGCGCTAACGCCCGAACACCGCCCCCAAACATTGCCCATTGCCCGACCTCCAACAGCGTTCCACAAGCGGGCTGCTGTTCTCATCCTTCCCCCCACCACCAACATGCTCAGCTCGCGCCCATCGTGATGCAGTCTGCCTCGGCCATTGGTGCGAGCATATCAGTAGTTTACCCCTCGTTACACACCAACACTAATGCTGTTTTTGGGCCGAGCCATGTTCTATGGACCGAATTCCTATCGCCCGCTACCAGCCGGGGCTGATTCCGCCCTGGACAAGATGTAGACTGCCTTGTCATTGTCATGAGGCTCCTTCGGGAGAGCCGCTGTCGGCTTGCCTGGTGGACGGGTCTCGTGATTGCCCATTCGCTGGTGCCGAGCAGAGAGTTCTGCGTTTACTCACTTTGTGGCTTGCTTTATATATGGCGATGCCTGATTGTGCCCACGCGGGTGGCCGTCTATGGACACCGTCGTGGACTGACTTTTGCTCATTTTGAATTTGATCGCCATATTTAAAAATATAGGATTTGCATTCTGTCTCGAAACATTCCCATGTCGACCGCCACAGAAACCGTTGTCGAGATGGATGCGGCTACGTCTATGCCTGCCCGGCTCGAGAGGTACGCCGGGTTTTACGGCGACCCGTTTCTAACTCTTCAAGACTACGAGGTCAAGAGAAAGCCTGTCAATGCAGCGAAAGGGAAAGAAAAGGCACTGCCTCCTGTTCCTGCTACGAACTCTGAATCCGAACTGGCAATCATCGATTCATACGATGAAGTGGATGACGCCGAGTTGGAAAAGTACAAACCCCCAGCCGCCCTCAAAACAGCCCTCAAAACAGCCCCAAATATCACCGACGGAATCCTGCTTGAAGTCTTACAGACCTCCATAGAAAATGTCGAAGCCAGAATTGTCGAAAATAACCGGAGGCGACAGCTAGAAGAGACAAGCAGGCTCGAAGAGGAAGAGGCGGCTAAGGAAGATAAGAGAAAAGAGCCATACCTTCCCATCATTGTGATACCAGACGAACCCGAGCCTCCAAAGAAAGAGGTCGACGAAAGTGACAGACAACTCAAGCTGCTCCCCGATCTCCCTGGGAATGGCGAGGGCAGCTCAGGTGGCGGGTTGATTGTCTTCCCAATCAAGCCCAAGAAGAGGAGCCGGTTCACCCTCACAAGGATGCTACAAAAGATTACTGAAAAGGAGGCACCGCTTTCGACAAGGAACCCATTCAAGTTTGCAGGAAACTTGAGCAGCAATAGCCTCGGGTCTTCTGACGAGAACAAGACTAAAAAAAGCCCCGTCGTGTAAGTCAAGTCTATAGCTCCCCTATCAGCCCTGGGACTAATAATAGCCACCAGCGAGTGCGTTTCATGTCTAGATGACTTCGACCCCAAAGATGTAATAAAGGTTACCTGCCACAGCTACTGCCGTGACTGTTTCGAGCGCCTTATCGCAGCCGCTGTACAGAACGAGCAACAGTGGCCTCCCAAATGCTGCCTCAACGAGATCCCCTTCCGGACGGTCCACCGCTACGTCTCCAAAGACCTGGGAAAGACATACAAGGACCGCTCTGCCGAGTGGAAGATACCCGTCAGCGACCGCATATACTGCAACCAGCCCGAGTGCAGCCTCTGGATCAAGCCGGACCACGTCAACAACGGCCTTCGTATCGCTAGGTGCTCCAACGGCCACTGGACCTGCACCATCTGCCGCGGTCCGCAGCACGAGAACTCGGACTGCCCACAGGACCGCGACATGGCGTTGACCAACGCATTGGCCGAGGAGGAGGGTTGGCAGCACTGCGCCAAGTGCCAGGCCCTTGTCGAGCATCGTGAGGCGTGCCAGCACATGACCTGCCGCTGTGGACATCAGTTTTGCTATGTTTGCGGCGTCAAGTGGAGGGGCTGCGCATGCACCATGGACCAGTTGAACGAGGTCAAGGCTGGCGCGGCGACGAGGAGGGCGCGGAGGATAGAACGCGAGGCCGAGGCCGACGCCGAGCTTCGCGATGCTCTGCGACAAATTGAGGAGTTTGAGCGGGAGGAGGCATTGAAGGCGGAACTGCTAAGGCAGGAGATGGAAAGACGCGAGGAGGAACGCAGGCAGCGTGAGCTCGAGGAGAGGGTGCGTTTGGAGAGCCTGCGCAGACATGAAATCGAGACCAAGTATCAGGAGCTGCGAGAGATGCTCGACGGGCTGCACGATGTTCAGGAGGTGATGGTGAGGTACCAGCATGACAAGGAGCTGCAGATATCTGCCCACGAGGCGTCTACAGCTACGGATGAGCTCGTGGAGAAGCAGCGAGCGGAACTCGCCACTCTCGCTGAAGTTGCCACGCAAAAGCTTGCTGTTAAAGAACAGGCTCTCGCCAGCGAGTACAACTGCCGCGTGCTAGAGGAGAAGACGACGGAGGAGATCTACCTGCGGGACTTGGAGAACTTCTACGCAGGTCAGCCGTCGAGCGAAGAGCGCATCAAGGAACTGATGCATGACTTGCGCAAGAAGATGGATAAAGGATGGCGGGCTTGGACCAAGTGGCGCAACGACGAATTCGATCGATATCAACTCAAGGTCGAAGAGGAGCGGACCATGCGTGAGGAGGTCATGTATAGTATCAAGCAGAGGCATGAGGAAAGTCTGGCGGAGAGCAAGAAGCAGAACGTCAGGAGGCAGGCTGCCGAGTCGCGCTGGGTGACGCTCGTGTTCGCAGAGAGGACGCGGGTGCTGGGCGACATGGAGGCTGCGGAGTTGGAGGCCGGGTCGCGCTGGGTTGAGGAGTTGGAGGCCGGGGAGTTGAGGGATGGAGCTGAAAGCTGGTACACCGAGGAGGAAGAGGCTTTGGAGGAGAACCCAGTCGGTATTTCTAGTTGACTCTTGCAAGACGGCCCCGCCTTGGCGGTGTTGGTCGTCATGCTTGTCTTCATCTTTGATCTACCAAAATCTCCAGCTGTATAGCTGCCATAATCAGCACATAGGAAGTATCATCGCCTCCTTGACGCTCTTGCTCCGTTTCTCCTCTTCTCAGTAAAATACCCAAGTACTTGTATAGTAGTCGTGTCAATCCTGGCGTATCATCATTGCGCCTGATTTGGTAATAAGAAACTCTTCCAACGTCGTAGCCGAACTGGAGCCAGATCCGTATCCGTTCCCGTTGTTGCCCGCAGGCGCGGGGCAATCCGCCACGAGAGAGACAGTGTTCTGATCATGTCAGTCAGTTGTTCGCTGCTGACTCGAGCCAAACATGCAACAAACTCACCATTCCGAGAACCCCCGCGTCCAGTCGTTCAAACATGCTAGTCAGCCGGTCAGAGCTCTTCGTAAAGACATAACCAGCAAGCCCGACAGGCGTGTCATTTGCCTTCTTCACAACCTCGTCCTCAGTGTCGAATATGTAAAGCCCGAGGATCGGTGCGAAAATCTCCTCACGACACATGAGCATCGAATCCGTCATGTTTCCCAAAACGGTCGGTGACATGAAGTATCCATCCCCGGGCTCTCTCCTTCCAGTGCCCAGAAGCACGGAAGCCCCCTTTTCCTCAGCGTCCTTGCACAACGCTTCTGCCTTGTACAGACCACGGATCGTCGTCAGTGGTCCCAAGGTCGTCTCCCGCTCCATCCCATGACCTATTTTCAACTTCTCCGCCTCTTGAACCACCAGTTCCGAAAAGGAATCATAGACGCGCCTCTGGACATAACATCGGTTCGGCGCAATGCATGCCTGTCCTGCATGCCGCCACTTCAGTGCCACCAGTTCCTTGGCGGTATTCTCCAAGTCTGCGTCATCGAAAACGATAAAGGGACAGTTTCCACCCAGATCGAGCGACAGACGCTTCAAATTTCGAGTGCATGTCGTGGCAACTCGCTTACCGACGCGCGCGCTGCCTGTGAAACTAACTGCTTTGACCAGAGGGTGCATACATAGCGCTTCGGCGACATCTGGTGTGTTTCCCAAGCTGGTTGTTATCACGTTGAGAGCGCCGGCAGGAAATCCCGCTCGGTTTGCTAGACATGCTATCGCGAGCGCGGTGAGAGGCGTTTCAGATGAAGGCTTGATAATGACAGTACATCCCGCCGCGAGCGCGGCTGCGGACTTGCGGAGGGCAAGCGCAAGCGGGAAGCTCCAAGGCACGAGTGCGAGAACGACACCAACAGGTTGCTTAAGAACCGCAGGCCGTCTCATTCTGAAACCGCTTGATGTCGGGGTACCGCCAATTGTAGCCGGCGTAGAAGGGGTGCAAGGGGTTCGAGGGGATATAGGCGAAGTCGGAAAGGTTGGAAGAACAGCTTGCGGAAAGCGGTCGGCCTCACCGGCAAACCACCTGACCAAGCCTGCGCCGTAGTCAACTTCGGCCAATGCCTCCGCCAGCGGCTTCCCTGTTTCGTGGACGAGAATCGTGGCGAGGTCGAGGCGGGCGGCGATGATGAGATGATGCCAAGCCGTCAGAAGACGAGCTCGTTCGTGGTTCGAAGTATCGGCTGAGAACCCTTGGAACCCGGAGAAGGCGGATCTGACGGTTGGGCCGACATCGTCCTTGGTGCAGTCGGGACATGTAGCCCATACGCGACCTGTCCCCGGGTCTATAATCGCGAAGCGCTTCTTGCTCCGGGACTCGATCCACTCGTTGTGAACATGGCAGTCACGATTGAGAAGACCCCTATCGGTGAGATTGAACGGGAGGGGAAGCGACGGAGACGGCGGAGGGAGGCCATTGACAAGGACACTGTGTCTTATATCGTTTGGGTTGTTGCTTTTCGTGGTCGAGGCGGAGGATGTGCTGCTGGATGTCGTGATGGTGCTGGTGACGGGGGATGTTACCGCGCTAAGCATGGTCGGCGAGAAGGAAACCTTGCGTCGGTGAACGTAGTCCTCCCGACCGGGCTGGATAATTGATAGCCTCCGCATCGGACCGGTACCCTTTTGCTCGACAGGGAAGGCGGGGAAACCTGTGCTATGGTGAGCAAAAGAGGCGGAGGAATTGGAAATTGCAACACCACGAGGAAGGGCGGCAGCAGTATGGCGACCTGATGAAGGCCGCGTAGTACGTGGAGGAGAAAACCTCCCCTCTCCTCACCCCGTTCCATCGATACCCGATTACTATGCGGGAACCTTCGGGGAGAAAATCCGAGGTCGAATGAGAACAAGGAGCTGAGAGCTCACATGTTTTAAGCTCAGCCCCTAGGGCGTCATCTGAAGCTTGATGTGTTGGTGGTGCAAAAAGTCACTTTGGCATTGCCCCTGACATGTAGGCCCAAGCTCCCAGATCGTCCTTCTTCCCCTCTCTTCTTTACGTCTTCATCCGCCTTCCGACACCGTAACGGGCCGCCCCGGTCTTTGCAGTCCAAGGCACTGGTCTCCGTGACAGGTACAGACTTGTTCAGGATGTTGATCATCCGGGCGGCCGGTGCGGAGAACGCCGGGTTTCATCCGAGCACGGCGAACTAGAGGCTGCCAAAGTTCTGCACGTTCAATGCTCAGAAAGGAAACCGTTCGTGTGTACAGGTTGAATCGGATGACGGAGGTGCCCCGGGACATCCCCGTCCGAAGAGAAGATGTTGGCAGCCATGGCTAGAACGTTTGGATTCTTAGAAGTAGGTGAACGAAACCGTAAAGCAAGGTTGTATTTTCATTAAAACCTTCCAGATATGTGCCATCGCCGTGATCTTCTCTAACAATCCTAAAACAACCGAACACACGCACCTAGTGCATTTAGTAGTAGGACGACGTGCTCGCACTTCTGTAATCTGGTCTTGACTCAGGAAAAGCCCCTGGGGGACCTGCTTGACCTTTTGCCTCATCGTCCGAGCTCAAAGCATCTCCATAGTCGTCTTTCCTCTCTGGCGGTGCGCGCATGGCGTCCAGGATACTTGGGTCCAGCGTTGGAGGCTGATATGGCTTGAGGGCATGAATCTCTCGGCCAGACGGCATCTGAGCCAGCAAGGGCCCGACCGGCGGAATGATCTGGACGTTCATCTAAAAACAGCATATTAGAACATCTTGAACAAGCGACGCAAATGAGGACAACTGACCGTATCGTTAAGCTTCTGCCACTTGACCTCAAGGAACTCAACCACTCTCGTTTCCTCGACCTTACCGCCGTCCGCCCCCCAGGCTGTTTCCTTCTCCACTTTCCGCTCCTCGCGCTTCTCGGTCCACTCCTTCTTGAAGCGACTGAAGCCGGATCCTTTAGCTGAGTACTTGGACTCGATACCGAGCTCCTGCAGGCCGGCCTGTAGCCAAGCGATGGCCTTCCCAACCTCGCCGCCGATCTCAGCATCAATACCAAAGAACCGACATGCTTTAGCACGGCAAGTCCGCCGAAGATCTTCGAGATATCGCAGGAGACCCTCGTTGATCTTGCTGGATCCTCGGCCTGCGGCTTGGCAAAGTGAGGACGCCTGGGCAGCGTGCTCTGCGGCGGCAAGGCACAGGCGGGCGAAGAGGTGGGCGCGGACTCTGGGAATATCGGGAGCTTTGTACATCCACTCGCGGTCATTCTTGTTGCGGTCCTGAGAAACAATGGCTGGGTAAGGGTCGTCTTTCAAGACTGCGAGGAGTGTTGCTTCGGCGAGCGCGAGCGAGGACATTGCGCGGAGGGTTGACGGCGAAACATCGCTGCAAGGTGGTGCCGTTTGCACTCTCTCTGCCCTGATGACCAGCCAGTCGTATATCGATGCGGCATCCAGGAGATACTTAGTTGCCGTTTGGATTGCAGCTGTTCGCTGCTGGGCATCCAAGGTGGCCTGTGTCGTCACAAATAGCGGGTGAAGGGCAGCCCGAGCAACCAAGGTGTATGCGTTGGCCAAGCTTGACAAGGTGAAAGCAATCTCATAGTCCACAGACTGAACCTTTACCCTGGAGCGTTCTCTCCCGGGGACTGCATTGTCCGAGAGTGTCGAACGCCATTCGATCGTCGGTGGTGAGGTAGCCCTGAGGCTGATGCTTTCTCCAAACTGAGCGTTCGGGTTGAGGCCGGCATCGACGGCTAAAATGTACGGAACGTAGCCATTGAGGGCCCCGATAACAGTGGATATGTGGGATGACTGCGAAGGAGGTGAGAGGCGCTTGTGTTTCTTCAGAGCATCTCTCACGACCCCGCGATACGTACTAGCGCTGAGGGGCAATGAGGGATGGGTATCGCTGGTGAAGCTCGAGGAGAATGAGAAAGCCGACGTGGTAGGGAGAACAAAAGGAAAAGGCATAACTGAAGAGTCGGCGTTGATTCGGCAAGAGGTAGAGAGAAGGAGGTCAGATTCGATGAGAGGGGCACGATTCGCCGTTGATCATTGAGCTACCTGAAGTTACAAGCATTGAAGTTGCCAGTCAGTGTCTGAGACCTGATTGCACCCGCCTGTGACGTTGGCCGTCCCGGATCTGCCAATTGGGGCTAGTCCTGTCAACCCCGGACAAAGTCACGTGGCCGACAGCCATCAGGGAAAGCAGCCATCAACTTTAGGTTCCTCGCTCGCCCCTGATGAAGCAAACTGTACCACCGACAGCTAATCCGATAACAATTGATTGAACCTTCGAGGCTGTCTTCGACTACGAATACCGGTGGGATGAACAAGACTGAAACTTTAAGGACTTGCGCCATGGCGGTGTTGCCTCAGCTGCCCAAGGAAGAAAGCTTCGAAGAATTCAGGTGTCTGGACCTTCCACCGAAAATGGGGAAAAAAGATAATTCCGCCTTGAAAAGCATCAGCTAGTTGTGGGGTCTACATCCTAGGAACCAGACGAATGAGAGCCCCAGCAACTGAGTTAGATTCTAAACAAGAGGCTTCTTTTGGGTCTAAGAACGCGGCAGGTGGCAGATGATAAAGGTGCTGGGTAGGTACCTGGCTCTGTACTTTCCTTAGCGCCCGGGATGTGGGGACCTTTCAGCTTGACACTGCAGTGAGCTGTCGTTAACGCGACGTGGACCCTTGAATTTCAACTCGGGACTATCACCTGGAGTTCAACAGCCAAGTCAACAGCTCCCAGCGAACTCTACCACCACCCACGGCAGCTGATGCCGCACCACACGAATCCACTAGACATTTCAGACTGAGCTGCAATCATGAGCAGTCCATCGCCCCATAAGCCTCGGCGCAGGGCGGGAAAGAAGGGTAACGGAATCAGCGGAGGAAGCAGCTTGAGTCCTGCGGTCGACAACCAGCTCTCTAAGAAGGAAGCTCTGGTCAAGGTCCCCATCTTCCCATTGGCCTCATTCCTGTGGCCTGCTCGAGGCTCCGTGTCACAATGGGAGGTCCTGCCCTTGATTCTCATGGTCGTTGGCCTTTTCAGATGGGCCGCTGGCCTCTGGGGATACTCTGGTAAGTGCGCCTTGATCGGTCCCCTCGACTTTCGCGGCAACTGCTGATAACTCTGCTTCTCGCAGGCTTCCAGAAGCCGCCCATGTTCGGAGACTACGAAGCGCAAAGACACTGGATGGAGATCACGACGCAAATTCCCGTTTCGCAGTGGTACTTCCATGACCTCCAATGGTGGGGTCTCGACTACCCGCCCCTGACGGCATACCACAGCTGGCTCTGCGGCAAAGTTGGCTCCCTCATCGATCCCTCCTGGTTCGAGCTGTACAACTCGCGTGGATCGGAAGACCCGACGCTCAAGATCTTCATGCGCGCCACCGTCATCGTCTCCGAATATCTCATCTACATCCCCGCCGCTGTCATCTTCGTCCGTCGCTTCTCCAGACACAGTGGCGTGCCTACGTGGACTGCATGGATGGCCCTAGTTGCAATCTTGTTGCAGCCAGGCACCATACTCATTGACCATGTTCACTTTCAATACAACACCGTCATGCTCGGCTTCGTCCTTGCAAGCATGTCGAGTATGCTGGCTGGCCGCTATCTCTGGTCAGCAGTCTTCTTTGTCGCGGCGCTCGGCTTCAAGCAGATGGCTCTCTACTATGCTTTCTCCGTCTTCTCTTTCCTCCTGGGAAGCTGTGTCTTCCCTCTGAAGCCGGGTCGCTTCATCGGCATTGCGCTGGTGACTGTTGCGGCCTTTGCCATTCTGATTGCGCCTCTAGTCCTGGGCACACTCTACGATGCGCGCCGAGGTATTGATGCGCGACCCGACTGCGACGGACCGCCTCCTACCCTTCCTTTGTTCCCCTGGCTGACTGACATTCTGGACACGAACGCCGTCTACTACCCGGTTGTCGAGCAGCTTGTGCAGATGGTCCACCGCATTTTCCCTTTTGCGCGCGGCCTCTTTGAAGACAAGGTCGCCAACTTCTGGTGCGCTCTCAACGTTGTCGTCAAGCTCCGAAAGTACCCCTCCGAGCTTCTTCAGCGCGGTGCTCTTCTGGTGACCACCGCATCCATCATCCCGCCGAACCTGGTCCTCTTCTTTCGCCCGCGCAAGTCGCTTTTGCCTCTTGCTTTTGCGACAACGGCGTGGGGCTTCTTCCTCTTCAGCTTCCAGGTTCACGAGAAGAGCGTTCTGCTTCCCCTGATGCCCATGACCCTCCTCTTGGCCGGCAAGCAGGGACTCTCGCGCGATGTGAGGGCGTGGGTTGGATTCGCCAACATACTGGGCGTTTGGACAATGTACCCCCTCCTTAAGCGGGTGGACCTCAGCGTCCCTTATGCAGTCCTTACTTTGCTTTGGGCCTTCCTCCTCGGACTGCCTCCAACATCGTTGAGCGCCTACTTCCAGGAGGACCACTCCGCCTTGCGAAAATGGGCCACTTTCCTTCTGCACGGTGGTTTCTATATTGCCATGGCTGCTTGGCATGTGGTGGAAGCCACAGTCCCGCCGCCTATCGACAAGCCCGACCTTTGGGTTATTGCAAATGTCGGCTTGGGTGCGGTGGGCTTCGGCATCTGCTATCTTTGGTGTTTGGGTCAGTTGGTAGCGCAGAGCGACATTTTGACAAGGGGTAACACAAAAACCAAGGCGAAGAGCCAGTAGATGGGGCGGTTAGCTAGCAATGGCTGTGTACATATTGGAGATTCTACGTCAAGAGTCTGTGTATCGATACGGGCGAAGGTTACAAAGCCGCAAGCATCAAAAGAAGGTTTAGCGAATAACATATGAAGACACTTTTTTAACAAGACCGGTACAATGCTGCCCACCACCTGGCGATGCAAATATCTAAGGGGAGCCGATAGAAAACAGGGAATCTCATGATTATATCAACACCATCCAACCTCTCGCCGCTTTTTGTTTTGAGCTCCAGTTTATACCCTTTGCTACTGATTACGAAACCTGCACAAACGCCCTTTTCTTCATGGACCGGCTTTCGTCGCCATCGTCCCAGTTCTCGTCGACGTAGTCCTTGACGCTCTTCTCCTGGATCTGCATGCCGACAACCTTCAGTGCGGCAATGTTGAAACCCATCTCATCCTTTTGGCGCTTCAGCGCGGCGCGCAGGTTGGCGCGGATGCCGTCGAGCATCGTGCGCATGGTGCGGCTGGCCACGATCTGGCGGTGGTGCGTCTTGAGCATGAAGAAGAGGATGCGGCACGTCAGGGGGATGTTCATGGAGCGCTGGGCAAAAATGTTGAGGAAGGTGAAGAGCATCGGCACGGTCGAGAAGGGGAGGACGAGCAGCGCATCATGGAGGGCAGATGCCTTGATGCGGTTCAGCACGCTCATGACGTATGCCTCGGCGGTGATGTTGCCGAGGGCGATGAAGATGGGGTTGCGCTGCGGGGGAGGGGCGTGCGGGTTCGTCTTCTTGGCGTCCTCGTACTCCTTGAGCAGGTTCAAGTCCGCGATACCGATCTCGAGGGCCTCGGCGATGCGCTCACCGGCCATGAGGGTCTCGACGGTCTGCTTGGTGGCGGCACCGACTTCGCCGTCTTGGTCCTCGGCGTCTGGGTCGCGCTCGAGGGAGGTGGTGAGCGTCTTTTCGTAGAGCTCTTCAATCTCCTTCTCGCGCTCTTCCTCAAGGAAAATTTGCTCGTCCGTCTCGTCCCAGACGCGGATGGACTTGTCGTGACCGGCGGTGACGAGGAACTGGCCACTGTGGCCTACGGCCATGGCCCAGACCTCGCCGTGATGGCCGTCCAGGCGCTGGATCTGCTCGAACTTGTCGCCGTCCCAGTACTTGATGCAGCGGTCCTTGCTGCTGCTGAAGAAGTGGTGGCCATTGCCGTCCGAGTTGTGCGGCACAAAGGCAACCTGCAGGATACTGTCTTGGTGACCGAAGAGGGCCTTGTGACAGTCACCAAAGTCAAGACCCCATATCCTGATGTTCTTGTCGGCGGAGCTGGTGACAATGAGCTTGCTGTCGTAGGAGATATCCATGCTGAGGACCGGGAGCTTGTGGCCATAAAGGTTGAGGTAGAGCTTCAGGCTATCGGTGAAGAACACCTTTACAGTGTTGTCGAGAAGGGAGACGGCAATGTACTTTCCGTCGGGGGAGTAGCGCACGCAGAGGATGTCGTCCGCAACTTTAAGTGTCCGCGATTGTACGAGCTTCAGTTTCGGTACGGTGCGTGTGGTGCCCAGGACTTCTTCTTGAATGATTCGGAAGTCCCAGAACTTGGCAGACTTGTCGGCGCTACCAGACACTACAGATTTACCATCCGGATGCACTTGTAATGACCAGATAGCTCCCTCGTGTGCGGTGACGCTGTCCAACAGGCTTGCGGAAGCGACGTCAAAGAGCTCAAGTTCTCCAGTCTTGGTGCCAACAACCACGACCTTGTCACCGGGCAAGAATGCGCAGCACAAAGCATAGCCGCACTCAAATGTTCGAATACAAGTCTGAGTCTTGATGTTCCAGATTTTCAGACCACCGTTGGCAGCCGTCGCCAGCATTTTGTCGTCGGAACTCAGCGATACCGCGCGGATATCTGTCCTATGTCCCGGGAGATCGACCGCCAGAGATCTCGTGTAGTCAGGCAGCTCGTCCTTCTTCGATTTGGAGGCGTCTTTTGTTGGTATGCTGTAGTACTCGAGCTGGTTGTTGGTAGTACCAGCCAGCAGGTTGATCTCCTTGCTGCCGCTGGTGACGGCCCAGTCCACCGACCGCACCTTGCCGCCCGTCCGGACTATTACATACTGGACGAAGAAGTCGCTGGCTTCGGCGCTCGACAGGTCGTCCGCCTGGTCATCGTTCTCGGCATCTTCCTCGGTCTTTCCCTCCTTCGCAGCCTTCTCACGTCTCCTCTTCTTCTTTCTCGCCAACGACTTCTTGACCTCTGCCTCCGACCTTATGCGCCAAACTTCAACAGCCTTTTCTGTGCCATGAACGGCAAAGTAATCCCGACGCGGGTGGAAGACGATTTCGATGGCCTTGTCCTTGTGTTGACGGAACAGCGTTCCCCTTTCGTGCAAGAATTTCGCAGATTGCGGCGCGTCGACCTGCCCCTTTAGAGAAGCAAGGCCTGCTGTGTCCAAGAACCACACCTTCAGCTCTCCGTCGTTTCCAGCCGTGATGCATCCGCTGTAGTCGGGGGAAAGGCCCAGAGCCCAGCACTCCCCATTCGTTTGCGCAATATGGGTTTCGATGCAGTGTCGCGAAGACAGGTCCCAAAGCTTGATCAGCGAGTCCTTGCCGGTCGTGAGGAGGTAGCCCTCGGCTGACGGGTCGCTGTCTAGCACCATAGCCTGGGTGTTGTCCTCATCTTCGACCTGCGCTTCCGGCTCGACAAACTGCAGCCCTGTAATCTGGTCCTTGTGTCCCCTGAGCTTGAACTGGCCAACCTCAGCCACGAGATCCCATATGATCACGTCGGTATCCTTGGAACCGGAGGCTAGTCGCACACCCGACTTGTCGAATGCCAGCGTCGTGATCGCAGACTTGTGACCATTGAAGTTGACAATCACTGTCGCGATTTTGCTATCCCACAGCCGAATGCTGCCATCTTCGTATCCGACGGCGAAAACGTCCTTGTCGACTTTGCTTTGGGCGATCGCAGTGACCGGTACGGTGTTCCTATCGTCCCTCCATCGGCTTACGAGCTCTCCCTTCTTGATGTCCCAGCACAGAACCTCCTCATTCGCAGCTACAACTGCCTGGCCGGCGCCAGCTCGACCTTGGGCGTTCCAGACGAGGTTCGAGGTGTTGGATGCGACAATGCCGAAAGACTTGCTGTGCTCATACTTTCTGTGATGATAGACCTGTCAGTCAATATTCCACCGAAGAAGTTTGCGATTGACCTACAGGTATGACTTCACCATTTTTGCGGATTTTTGGCGCCACTAGGCTCTTCAAAGGCTTTTGCGATAGAGGCACGTCCCTCGAACATCGAAATTCTTAAAATTTGGAGTCTTCAAGTGTTATCGCGATGCGATAAGGATGTGGGGCAACCGACTCTTTTGCGAAACAATACCTGATATAACGATATGCTGCCTGCATAACGGGCATTACGTACGGACCTTCTCCTGGAGCATCACAGCCATCTTAGCTCCGACTGTGCTCGAACGTCACACCCCACTTGAGGTATCATCAGCTTCCCAACGACACAACGACAACTTGGGAGACAAGCTGGCAATTGGCCGTCGACAAGATGCTTCTCCTTGACTACCAAAACGTTCTCATCCAGTCGGTGTTGACCGAGAGGTTCTCTGGGTACGAGAGCATGGCTTCACGAGCTTCACCGCAATAGCTGCTAACCTCCAAGGCAGTGCCCCTCCCGCTCACATCGACCAGACTGTCTCCGACTTCGACGGCGTCATCTACCACATTTCCACTCCCGAGACGAAGACAAAGATTCAGCTTTCTATCCAAATAAGATGCTACAAGGACCTGGTGAAGTACGGCGCCGAGCAGGTGCTGCAGAGGGAATATGGCCAATACGTCGTTCCGCCCGAGCCCGGCTACGATTTCTCGGTCTTGATTGATCTCGAGAGTCTGCCGGAAGAGAAGGGTCAGTAAAACCGATGTGGAAGACGTTTAGTTGGCTGATTGAAAGTGTAGAGGAGCGAGATGCGTTGATCATGAAGATGGCCTTGCTCAAGCGCAACGCTATGGCCGCGCCGTTCGAGGCCGCCTACGAAGAGCACTACAAGTTGAAGGAGGAGGCATCCAAGTACACATCTGAGGAGGCTCCCCAAGGCGTTCGGGAGGGCGGTGAAGTTATGGCTATCCACTACCGCGAGGAGGAGGCCATTTACGTCAAGGCCAGCCACGACCGTGTTACCGTTATCTTCAGCACGATATTCCGTGAGGAGACCGATCGCGTCTTTGGCAAGATCTTCATCCAGGAGTTCGTCGACGCCAGACGGAGAGCCATCCAGAACGCTCCTCAAGTACTCTTCAGGAACGATCCTCCCCTGGAGCTGCAGGGAGTTCCTGGCGTCAGGGATACCGGCACCGGCGAGATTGGATATGTTACCTTTGGTGAGTGGCAGCGGTAGGGAGGAGCCTCTCATGCTAACAGATTTAGTTCTTTTCCCTCGTCACCTCACTCCTCAGAGAATGCCCGACGTCATTTCTCACATCCAGACTTTCCGCGACTACTTCCACTACCACATCAAGGCGTCGAAGGCCTACATCCACTCGCGTATGCGCAAGAGGACAGCAGACTTCCTCCAAGGTGAGTCGTTACCAAAAGATCCTCAATCAATCCTGAAGCTAATTCTGTACAGTTCTGCGCCGTGCACGCCCAGACAGCGAAGAGAAGGAGCGGAAGACGGCGAGCGGCCGTACTTTCAAGGTGCAGGGAGCGTAAAAACTTGGGAAATTTACTGCAACACCCGTGCCATAATTTCAGCTGAAGACTCGTTTCTGAGCCTACCTGCGAAGACGCGTCAGATTTGTAGAGGCGCAGACTCAATGCAAGCGATGCAAGATGGAATTATTCAAAAAAAAAATTAAAAAAATACTGCGTCGAGTGAAGGGAAGCAGCCAGTGGATATGCAGTGCGAGCAAAGATATAAAGATTCATGACCATGAGTTCGCGAAGAGTAATACGTGAATAGACGAGTTCTGCCTTGGCGGTAGGGTTCTCATACAGCTCTGATAGGGTGACCAATCAGATTGGTGGAAAATCATCACCGATTTGGACCAAGGTATGGTTATGAGACGGGATATGGAGAAAGCTTTCGTCGATGATGCAGAACGGAGCCGAACGGCTGGGAACAATGGCAGTCTAAGGGGGCGGCTCTCGTAGATGCCGGATCGACGTTCCCACTCAGGCACTAGGCGCTGATACCTACCGATGGGGAGCTCCCGCGCGGCGGCGGCCTACGCAGTAGACACACAATTGCTGTGCATTGTGTGCGGCCGAAACACCGGTGGCCATGTGAGTCGGTTTGAGTCAAAAAGACGAGCCGACCGAGTGCGAGCCGTTCTCGTCTGAAGTACCGCATGCCATCGCAGGTGGGAAAACTATGCACGACATTTGGATGAAAAAGAATTGGCGGTTAACCCGCCTGAACAATGCATGAATGTTCATCGCTCGTCCCGAGTCTTCTCAATCGAACAACCCAGGTCCCAGGGACAAATTTGGGTTGTTTCGTTTATGCGTCCAGCAGCGTGCTCTCACCCAATGTTACTTGCTGTGCAGAAGCCATGGCGCCGCCTGGAAACGCAAGGTAGGTCGTAATTCTGAGCGAAGAGGGTCCATTAAGTGGAGGGATACGCGGAGTGATGGCGCTGATCTGAATAGTAACTTGCAATGAGAATGGGTCGGCAAGTTGTCTCCTAACCGTCGGTATCTATCCAAACTTGATATGTTTGCTGTGCACCTTTGTCACCTTGGGCTTCTTAGAAAATTGAAGCGCATTGACAAGCATGCGTTTGAAGAAAACCAATCTGGCAATCGACAGGCTCGTAGAGACGCGGCGAACCCGGATCCGCAGGGCCACCGTTGCCGTGATGTGAGTTTCTCCACGATCCCATTCTTTGCGAGGTGGACAGGCAAACCGCGTTGCCTGGCTCGCGTCGCATCATGCTCCTGTATCCGTATCAACCTCTCGAGGCATATCGTGGTCATGAGAAGTTGGCCCAGCGAAAGACTGGCTACAAGTGAACAGGGTCGTTCGCATTTACGGTGAAGTCCACGATGCCTCAACTTTGCAAAAGACACTGAATCTGAACCAAGCAATGCATCGTGAATAACTCACTATGCACGGCGATAGACGGCAGTAGCTGGGATACCCCCACCAAAATTGGCTGTGAGACCAAATGGGTTTGAAGACGGGGCGCCGTCAGCCCCTCTTCACCTCGGACGACAGAGGGAACTGGAGCAGGCAGGAGGCTTGATCCATGCCGGAGACCTCCAACACCCTTGCCCGGTTCTCATGGCGATTAAAGCGCGGCATTCACGGTGGCCGCCAAGCAATCAAATAGCCTCTTGTAAAAAACTGACGAGTGACGAGCACCAGCGCTTTGCCCGAGGGTCCGGATCATCACACTGACGGAAGTGTCGTCGCTCCAAATAAGGGCGGCCCCTTAAACCTTCACAGGGTGTCCCATGCGACGTGGACTTGGACAAAAGTGAACCGAATGGGAGAGACGCTAGCAGGTCGTGTCTGCACAGTGACAGTCACAGGCATCGCACATCGTCCGGATACCATGTGCAGTTAATGCAAGGGACGGCGGGCGGTGGGCAGATTTTGGGACGGTTGCACTGGAATGATTGGGCGAGGAAAGCTCGTACAGGAGTGATTTGGGACCTGACGCTACGGCGAATCTGGATGAGATGAGCCAGTCAGGACTCAGCGCGAGCCATTCCCTCGTCGAACACTGGCTGTGGGACCTGACAGTCTGCCACCAGCCAGTCACAGCGCCCTATCTCCTGGATTTATGAACGGCTATCCGTCAAGATCTCCACCATTCGCCCGTCATCTGCTCTGCCCGCTCTGCATTAGCAGCGAGCTTGCTGCAGGACGAACGTGCACTAAGATACGACGGGTCTGGCCTGGACCACGCCGCCGTCAATCAGCCCCAGATTCAGAATAGGGAGGCTGGAAGGAGAGAACGCCAGCTAACGGCCAAACGTCTCCCCAGTCCAAAGTATTCTTATGCTTCCAACATTGGCATTCTGTTCCTGCCTCTGTTTCCCTGTTCCACGAGGTGATCTGCGTGTCGTAATACCCGATTTACACGGGATGAGGAAACAGTGAACCTATTCAGTAAACGCTTCAATTTTTATTCATTCCAGCTTCTCGTCACTCTTTTCACTGCCCGATACTACCTACCTACGGCACCTGGGATACACGACGCCAGCCCCCCGGCACATCGAAATAGTCACCCCTGCCGACTGCAGCGCTCGAGGTGGAAGGTGAAAGTGGTTCCAGTGCCTCGCCTAGAATCAGACGGGAGACGGGGGTCCAGAGCCAGCCAGCCAGCCCAGCAGAGCAGAGAATAGACCGTGACTGAGGGACTTTCTCTTCCGTGTCTGCTCATCTTTCTTTTCCTACGACGAAGACGACGGCTGCGACGCACATCTCGACCCCATTCCCCGAGCTTCCCGCCGCGGAACGTCTCTGTCGCTCATTCCAATCGTTAATACCACGGGTAGGTCGAATTTTCGCTTGGCTTGGCTGACTGACCCCTGACCGGGCCGCGAACCATCGGCGATCAGGACGTTGTCTGACATTGTCGTTCAATCACAGTCGCCCATACGTACACACGGCTATCGTGGCTCGCTCTTTCCCTTTACTTCAATTCTAGTAGACGCCTTATTCAACCGCTTCGTCAATCCGTCGATCTTCAACATTCGGCCCCAGTACCTCCCGAATCCACGAAAAAGCAATAAACCAACCGGAACCCGCAATTTTAGTCTGGAGAAGGGAAACGAAGGAAGTGGTCAAAATCATCCAGAAAGATCAAACGACGATTAGTGCTCTGTATCAGGGAACATCCGGCACTTGCGATTCCAAAATCTGAGATTGTGGACAGCGCTGGTCGTCCTTCTCAGCAGCAGTCATTGGTCGACAATTGGCCAGAGGTATCACTTTCGGGGAAGCCCTTACCTTGGCTCCTGTGGTGTCACTGGCTTCTAGAGATCGCCGCCTTTTTCCCTCCTGATTCCTTACCAAACTTGCACAGACACGTCGTGTCACTCCAGACGGCAGCACGGCAGCGAGACAACGCGACGGCACAAGACAGTTGCGACTGCAGCCATCCAGGCCCACGGGGTCGTACACTCATTTTGAAGCCCAGGACAAGCTCTCCACTACTTCGCCTCACATCACCGTTGCCAATACTTTACCACGCGCGAACTTTACGCCCTTTGCACCTTCCGGGATCCACACGGAGACAACGGACTCAGACCCTCACTCACACTCGTTGCTACTACCAGTCACTCCTTTTTTTTTCCCTCGTTCCCTATTCGCTACAGTTTCTTTTTCCTCTCAACCCCAAACCCAAAATTCGAGAGAGAAAACGGTTCATACTGTCTCTCATCAAATTCAGGCTCATTTCACGTCTGAAGTTCTGCTGTCACCAGCTTATCCCAACCCAGCTTAAGCGACTGCCAGCAGCTGCAGCATCTGCATCCGAGCACCTCCGCCCCAAAAAACTGTCAGTGCTTTGATAGGAGGTAGGTGCAACCCAGCTTGACCACCAATTTCCCTAGCGCAGGTGCAGGTGGGCCCACGCCTTCCATTCCAACTCCATCTTGCCTGGCGCTCAGCCTCTCTCCTCTCTCCACCACTGCCAACAAACAACAAACATTTCGCAGACAAAGGGCAAAGGGGAAGAGGAGCGCTCGTCACCACCTTGTCGTTGCCCTCAAATGGCAGCAAACAAGTTCTAACAGTATTTTTTTGTACGACAGAACCAGGTGACAGAGTATCTTCTTTTTTTTTTTTTTTTTTCCCGCTCTTCGAACCCGACACCTCACGCTCGTTTTTATCTCCATTATTCGTCAAATCCTCACCTTCCGACTCGACGACTTTCCGTTTAATTTCGCTCCCCGATTTTTTCACGCGCCTCAGGGAATCGACCCGACCGACCGAAAAATCGAAGAGATTCATTCATGCGATGGCCAGCGCCTAAAAAGTAGACTTCATCTGCAAATGCGACGCGAAAGACGATTCAATTCGACGGCATCAAAAATCCCCGACCCGAAACTTTCAATATCGAATATTCGCAAAATCCAAACACCACAACAGAGCAGCAGCCACGATGCGTTTACCTCTTGACAGGCGTCCTTCGGCGCGCCGCCGTCGCCATAGCCCGCATCTTCTGGCAATGGCTGCTTTTGCCCCATCTTTGGCAACTGCGATTCAATTCACATCAGTCCCCGAAGCCAACCTGGACCTTTCGCAACTCGGCAGAATAGGTGTGGCTGGCGACTTTAGTGGCATCTCCCTCTATCAGTTTGAGGAGCAAAATGAGAAGCCTTACAACACTAACGGCAGCGAGTCGCTGCTTGCACAGCTGCCCAATGGCGCTTTTGCTTCGATTGTTTCCTCGGATGCTTCGATTCACGACATGTGCACATTCACGCTCGAAAACGGAGAGATGCAAGGAGTGGTAATTGGCGGTAATTTCACGAGCCTGAATGGTACACAGTCGCAGGGTGTCGCCATGTTCAACCCCAACACGACTGAGATCACACCTTTGGCTGGTCTTTCAGGCCAGGTTAACGCCCTTCTCTGCGACCAGGCCACCAACACAGTCTATGTTGGAGGTAACTTCCGCGCTGCTAACTCAACAAACGCTATCGCATGGGTCGGCACCGATGGATGGACAAACCTGCCCTTTGCAGGCTTCAAC